GCTCTCCACCATGCACAAGAACATGCAGAAGCTGTACGAGAGCCTAGGGAGCTACTTCGCCTTCGACCCCCACACCGTCAGCATCGAGGACTTCTTCGGAGACCTGGCTAACTTCCGCAACCTCTTCATGGTGAGTACGGCAGCACTGTCACCTGTTTATCCTCAGAAGAGTGCTTTTTTCTTATGCTCTTTGCACTCCTCAAGGTTGAAGAGAGTCGGATATTTTCTGTTCTTTCTCTAATGTGTATAAATCTGGTTTTCCAAAAGAGTCTTCGAGAGCAGGTGCAGATAATATTCTAATTAACATTTCCAATGCTTTTTCCACATCTAGACTGCAGAGGTCAGAGTTGCTGTATAGCAATATGGTTACGTTTAGGATTGCTTTGACAGCTTCTAGCACTTGGAATGTGAGAGCACAATTCTCTTTCTAACTTCGTCACTTTCTCTTCTTCGTACATATACACCATTTTTATCAGTACATAGTTTTAAGAGCTCTAAACTAAAGCTGCTGGCCTTGTCTTAAGTGCATGTGGTGATTTAGCTTATTCTTTCACATTTGATAAAGACGTTTTCCTCACAGGGGTGAGGAGATGGAAGGACGGGCTTATTGGGCAGATTAAAGCATACATAAACTGTGCTGAGAATGGAATGTATAATGTATTACCAAACGTGTGGCTCCTATGCAGATAAAAGAGTCTCAGAAGCTTCTTATCCTTTCAGAGTTTCGTTAGCTTCTGTATTTGGCGGATATCAAGGCAACGCCTCCTCCCTGTCAAAAAATAAATAAATCCCAGCTTGGGGTTTAGGCAGGTAGGACTAGGTTATTGCTGATAGGATAGGATTTATCCAGACTGAGTGTGAAACCAAAAGAGGCGTTTCAAGTACATCTCACTGTACAAAGAAGATATGAGATTCTCTGCTAATTGATATTTTTTAGGTACTTTGAGCCTGACTTGTATTAATCAATGTATATAATCTAAATGGGTTTTAGGGATTATACAAATGAAACTTTATGAAAACCTTTATGCAAAATATTAATACGCTTTACAGAAAATGAGTCTTGAATTGTGGGTGTAAAATGATTTATTTATTTTTATTTGTTATTTAATCATATTTTTGCAAACAAATTCTAACATTTTAAAAAGAGTGTTTTAGCACAGGTTTTAAAACTTGTATGTAAAATATGTATTTTAATATACATATTTTATAATACTTTACTATTGATCTTTTATAATCATTAAAATTATAGCTATTATTTTTTGAATAATAATTTAAATTAGGTAATTTCCATGTACACTAAAAAATGATGTAGAAACAATTTTCACTCAGAAAGTACTAGTAAATTTCACAAACAATTCCAAAGAAACGTCAAGTAACAAGAAGTAGAAAAACTGTATAATTTTCTCATAAAACCATTTCAAAAAAACTTTTGTGTGAAGTTTCTTTATATCTTGCATAAATGTTTTGATAAAACATTTTCTATTCACCCTGCGCAAGAAAGTGCAACAAACTTTAGTTTACTGCACATGACGAAACCTTCATGCTGAGCAATTCTATTGAATGGAGAACATTGCATTAAAAGCTCCATTTGCAGTCCAGTTCAAAGAACATTTACACTTTGAGTTTTTAGCTTCACCGTGTTTAAGGGCACCCTGGGATTGGGGTAATTTTGATTTGTAAATGGAAACTTAATATGGGCTTGAGGAGGAGGGCAGAACGCCTCCAGACAAACCAGCCTCTGGAGTGTTTCCTCATTTCTCCTGCTTCTGCCTATATATTTCATCTCCCCTCCAGCAAAAAAAAAAAAAAAAGGGATAACACGATGTCCAGAATGTATGCTCAAAGTCTTCAAAACCCATTACAGTGAATGGCAAGGTCTCCTTGTCTGTGGCTTCTCTCTCACCCCTTTCTCTCAAGCATATCTAAAAACCAACTTTCATTCACCCTGATCAAAGCCTAGCAACACACATGACATGGAGCTCCCTCCAGGATGCAGCGTTGAACGGCTGTAAAAGGGGCATCTATGAAAATAAATTATTCTTTCAAGCGAATGGCTCTTTATGAATAAGTTATCACTGATTTAGACTTCAGTGCTGAGAAGAGCAGAGCTGGTGGAGAACACAAACATAGCTGGATGTCCAGAAACATTCCCTTTGTGGCGTTTTACTCCTGCTGTTTTTTTTTTTCTTTTCTGAAAAAAATCCAGAAGGCCAACCAAGCTTATAATGCATTAGTAAGAGGGCTCTTGTGATGTATGCTGGGAATGTTATTTTGTGTCATAGCCAGGCCTAATGTGATAAACTGACAAGCAGTAAAAGTTGTTGGCTGTAACTGGCCAAGACAGAACATTTTGTTGGTTGCTTGGTTTTGCCGCGAA